TGCCAACCCTCCTGCTGAAAAATGTGAATGTCATTCACACACTTGGGGAAGAAGACAGCATCCAGGTACACATCGACAAGATTGTAGAAATCCTAACAACAAATAGCGAGGAAATTTATAAGATTCAAGTTCAAATTTGCTGAACAAAAGAACATTTTGGATTGGGGTGTTCTACCTTTGTATTTGTGGAAGCGACAGGGTAGCAAGTCCTATCTGGATATGTAAATGCATTCAAGAAAGTATGCAAACTCCCTTTCAATAATTCAACAAATGGCTCTTTCAGGGGGTACTTTCTTGATCCACACAGTACGCTGTGTTCCAGTATGTGAGGAATACCAGTGGAATCCTTCCTGCATTAACAACCAAACGAAAGCCATCTCATGCCAATGCCAATACTGAGAAGGCCCATCGGTATGCAGTTTGGTTAAATTGGAGAACCAAAAATCAGAACTTTTCCAGCTAAAACAAATTATCTTAGTAGAGAATGTTGCTAGAGAACCCAAAGATTACAAACTTCAAGTTAAGAGTTGTCCAAGTCATCTGTTTACAAGGCATTACGGAAATCAAATTGTTAGAGAATTATGAGATTAACTATTACTTCTCCAACTGATCTTAGACTTTTAGACAGCTTCACTCACAACCACCAAAATAGAGCGAGAAATTTAACAAGTTGTTCAAAGTTTTTCAGAATTAAATGCAAAATCTCTGAACTGGGGTCTTTAGTAATTGCTTGAGGATTCTATAGTTGAATTCAATGAAAGAAACACCATCTAGAAATTTCCTGCAAACGCTAAGCAATCCCTGGGCTAAGTAGCCAGCAAATACTTAAGTCAACTAAATAAAGATAAAACGGGAGCATTAACAAATAATGTGTTGAACTTACGGAGGAGTCCTGAAAACAATGCCGAAAACCTTGTTCTCATCATCATTTGACACTGACATAACCTCACAACCAGTTTTCTTGTGTTTGAAGAGAACAACATTTGATTTACACTCGGAGATGAATTCCTCCGACACTTTCTCAAATCCAAGCCTCTCAGCCTCATCTTGGCCTACATCTGTCCAAGGGAAAACCAAATCACTCATGACTGTAGCTTCTGTATAGCTTTAAATAAAATTAACAGACACAAAATGTGAGGAGAAAAGGGTGCAGCTCTGTATTCCAAATCTATCTTGGATCAACAACATTTGCAGACATCAGAACCTAAAACGGAGTTCCTATGTGCATGTTCACAAGTACCAACCACTTTGAATCCAACTGCAAGAACAACAGATCCAACCATACAAGCAATAACAAATAAATCTCCCACAGGTGCTCTTTCAGAGATGAAATGAACAAACTTTTCAATAGCAATGACCTATAAACGAATTTCAGAAACAACAGAGAAAGACCCATATAACATCTTCAGCTTTGAGCTTGAACAATGGAAGAAACATCATTTCCAGGAAAAAATTAATAACCATCCAACAAGTCTAAGAACACGCACCAGGATATGATGGTGCAGGCTGCGTAGCGACGGCACGGACGGAGAAGCCGTAGAACTGTCCGCCGAGACCGCGAGCCGCAGCGGGAGATAACCTCAGTACGCGACGGAGAAACAGCCGTCTTCCACCGGCGACGGGAGATTGAAACCACCGAAGGTTACAGCCGGAGGCGCCGGCGGCGGCCGAGTAAGAGCGAGGGAAGTGGCGGTGGCGGCGAGAGAAGCGGAAGAACGGAGAAGTCAAACCGAGATAAGGGGGAGAAGAGAGAGTTCGGAGCATGGTTGCCGGAAAATGTTCTCCGGCGAAGGCTGGTTCTGTCGTAGACGAAGGAATTGTCCAGAGAGATGGAAGGGGCTTTATCCGAGAGGGGTTTGTACGGAAATAAAAAATAATACAAATAAAAAAAATGATTCTTTCTTGTGACTTGGGTGACACACAAAATATTTTAAGAAAAAAAAAATTAAAAATAAAATTATAGAACTCTATAATACTATTTATGGAAAATTAAATTTGTGACGGCGAAGTAGAATTCTATAATTTGAATTATATAATTTAGTGAGGTTACATATTCATAAAATTACACAAAACCAATGATTTATTCATAAATTTAACATTTTTTCCGATTCTTTGAGTATCTGTCAAAAATCTCTCTGCATATTATATTTTAGAATATTTTCCTTATATTTTTTTTAGTAAAACTCAATACATATTTTCTATGGAATATAATCATTAATCTTTTGAATCTATATTTTAAATATATTTGTATGTAATGATTATAATATTTCAATACTTTAAACTTTGAATATCATTTTGTTTTTGATGGATTATATATTTTATTTGTATTTGATTTTTTTTGTAGTTTAATTCTCATATTTGTGTCGATATCTAAAACTGCATATATTCAAAAACTATTCAATCGGATATGAACCAGATAATATTTTTAGTTGTGTACAGTCATTCTATATATTTACATATATTTTTTGTGTATTAATTAGATGAAAACTTTTTTTGTGTATTAAAAAATAACGATAGATGAATTGAATTTTATTTTGTATTATTTTGAAATTCACAGATATTGGACCAAAATAATCATAAATTTTCATCACGACTCTGTTCGTCACAAACCGATCTCATGACGGATCAGTTCGGCAAACCTACGAAATGATCGGCGAACAGAAATTTTTTTTGTTTAATTTTTAATATTTTTAAATATTTAAATATTTTTTTTACTAAACTTGTGTTTCTGAAAGATATTTTGATTTGTTTTGTTTAATTTTTTAAAAAATTTTAATTATATTTATAATATTTTTATATTACTTTATAATATTTAAATTTTATTTTTTTAATTATTTATTTGGTTCGTAAATCAACTCGTTTGGTCCGTGATTTGAGGTAAATTGTATTAAGCTAAATAAATTTTGGTTCATAAAAAGGATAGAATTAGATCGGGTTAAAAATTTTGAAATCGAATTAGACCGGGCCACAAACCGAGCCGCCCATGTCATGGTCGTAGGGTTTCGATAAAGAAAGAACCAAATAGAATATGTTGTTGTCTCTCCGTGATAGAGACCCCCTGTTTCAATCAGAGACTCATCTCATCGAGCGATGACAAACGCAAATTCGCTGCAATAAAAAAAAAAAAAGAGAGAGAGAGAAAAAAAAGGCAAAAGCTTCATCGGCAAAATGTATTCCACTTCCAGTCCGTGCAATCTCAGAACTCAATTCCCCGAAAATTCCATAAGCCCTGACTAATGATTTTGGATTCCGTTCTCTGTTCTCCGATCTTCTAGGGTTCGTCTCCGCTTCGGAAATTGCTGAACAATGCCTGTGTCCTGCACGATTCCAGTTCCACCTTCTTCATGTCTCCTCTGCGGGATCTCTAATCGCAGTGGTGGCAGCAGCAGCTTCAACCTAGAACGCCCGGATTTTCAGATTTTAAGCTTCATCGTTTCCCGATCGGATTCCGGCGAATTCGACGGTCCTGAATTTTCCGGGCGGTTTCGACGGGAGGGATGGCGGTGGAGGAGACTGAACGCCGCCGGTGCCAACCATATCGTCGAAAATGCGCCGTCGCGCAGCTCTCCCGCCCCCGCTTCCCCCACCATCGCCACCATTGAAATACCGGTGACATGTTACCAGGTACGGTTTCTCTTTGCTTCGGTGGTTTCTGTTCTTTTCACGATTTGGGTACTTTGTTCTACACACGCAAATTCAGATGTGTTCCGTTACTTTTTTCAATCCATTTGAGAAATCTGTTTTCCCAATTTGCTGGACTTTGACCTACCACCCCCTACATTTCGGAGATTATTAGAAATAAATGTCTTTGATTTGGTGGACTTGTCAGAATGAGTGAGAAATTTGCTGTTATTGAAAAATCGGTCGGTTCAAGAGAAAGTATGTGAGGAATTAAGTCTTTGGGTTGTTCTAAGGTCGTTTGTTGCTGCTTAATCCTGTAAAAAGTGTTGAATTTACAGATTCTTGGAGTTTCTGATCAAGCTGAAAAAGATGAAGTTGTTAAGTCGGTGATAAATTTGAAAAAGATGGATGTCGAAGAAGGTTACACAATGGAAGCTGCTGTAGCTCGCCAGGTTAAGATCTAAAGACTGTGTTTTTCTTTCAAATTGAAGATATGTAGTAAAGTTATTGAAATTGGACATCGAAGACTGTATTTGTTTATGTTAATTCGTTTTCCTCATCGATTTTGTGAACTTCTGCAGGATCTGCTCATGGATGTTAGGGATAAGCTTCTTTTTGAACCAGAATATGCTGGTGATGCAAAAGCAAAGATCCCTCCTAAATCTCCTCTCAGAATCCCGTGGGCATGGCTGCCTGGTGCTCTATGCCTTCTTCAAGAGGTATTCTACCGAAGCTTTTGTTGGGTTTTCTTCCTGCAATTTTCTTCTAATATTATCCTTTTTTATCAGTATGTTTGTTTTTTTCCTTTTTGGTACACCTGCAATATCCTTCTTCGAGGTCTCAAGGGAACTTTGATCATTTCCTGGCCTTTGTTGTGGCATTTCCTGTAAGCTTGAGGTGAAAGGAATTTGGATAGATGATAATCCTGAAATAACCCATTATGCTTCAGGTTGGAGAGGAAAAAATTGTGCTGGATATTGGTCAGGCAGCTCTTAGGCATCTTGATTCAAAGCCATATATTCATGATATACTTCTGTCTATGGCACTGGCTGAGGTAAGGTCAAGTGAATTTTAGTATGTGAAGCATTTCACAGGTTCCACGTGTGATCTGGGTTTTCTCAATCTCTAATATGTATATGATCTTCTCCTTGAAGTGTGCAATCGCAAAGGTTGCTTTCGAGGCTGACAAGGTATCCCGAGGGTTTGAAGCTCTTGCCCGTGCCCAGTGCCTTCTCAAGAGTAAAGTAACTCTCGGGAAACTTGCATTGTTGTCTCAGGTAATGATTTATTTCTCTGTTTTGTAAGTAAAGCTGCAGAAAACTTGCATTTTTGACTTTTTGGGTCTTTCGTTGGGTAGAATTCTTAGGGCTCATGAGTTAACGTGCTCTGCTGGAATTAGAACTATGACATGAGCCTCTAATTTAAGTTTATATTATTTAAAGACAATTTACTTGGTCCAAACTCAATTGGATGTTAAAAGGATTTAGGGTGAAATGTTTAGATTGAAGAATCATTAGAGGAGCTTGCACCGCCATGCACATTGGAACTACTGGGCTTGCCTCGATCGCCGGAAAATGCACAGAGGAGACTAGGCGCAATTGCAGCGTTACGTGAACTTCTCAGACAGGGCCTTGACGTGGAAGCTTCTTGTCAAATCCAAGACTGGCCATGCTTTTTGATCCAAGCACTTAGCAGGCTGTTGGCCACGGAAATTGTTGATCTTCTCCCGTGGAACAGCTTAGCAATTACACGGAAAAATAAGAAGTCACTTGAGTCCCACAATCAAAGAGTTGTAGTCGATTTTAATTGTTTCTACTTGGCATTAATTGCTCATATCGCAGTTGGATTTTCAAGCAAGCAAACGGAGCTGGTATTGTCACGTTCTTTCCTTCTCTCTTTTCCCCTCGTGAACTCAAAACATTGTTCTATTTGTTTTTCGTTCTAGTTTATATATCATTCTATTTGTTTTCTGCTCTTGTTTAGTTTTGAAATATAATATTCGATATCTTTGTGCAGATTAATAAAGCCAAAAGCATATGTGAATGTCTGATAGCATCAGAAGGCATTGATCTAAAATTTGAGGAAGCTTTATGCTCATTTCTTTTAAAGCAGGTATTTCGTCTGCCCTTCTTCCCTGTGACCTCTTGTTTTGAATTTTTAAGTGTTTCAAATTTACTTGTCTGGAAGATTTGCCCGTGGCTATACAGTTAATTAAGTGCTACTGGACCTATGTGTTGGATAGCACAGGGTACTGAGGCAGAGGCCCTTGTGAAACTGAAGCACCTGGAGGCGAATTCTGACTCTGCTACTCGCGATTCGATTTTGGGAAAAAATCTCAGGAATACTTCTGCTGCGACTCCATCATTGGTAAAGTTTATACTTCTGTTTATGTTTATGTGTGGCTACATCTAGAGCTTAACTGTTTATGTCATCAATGATGGTGCATCTGAAGTAATATATCTTCATTAAATTATATGAAACTAGAAATGTGTTTGGGCTCTGATTGTAGGAATTGACTGACCATGGAAACAGATACACTGGTTTAGGTAATAGATCACTCCTAGATGAACAAAAATTCATAGGCTCGGCCAGACATACAAGTCTAGATACTATGTCTTAAGAACATCATGTATGCATGCATGTTTAAAAGGTTTTTGTTCTTGTATAAGTTACATCTATGACGTTTTCTTATAGATTACCTAATGAACTTGCCCAGGAAACGTGGCTCAAGGAATCAGTTCTTGCTGTGTTTTCAGACACAAGGGATTGTTCACCATCTTTGGTAAGAATCATCGCATCGCTAGACTGTATACCAATTCTGAACAGCAGAATAATATTCATTTTTTCAACTTTTGCAGACCAATTTTTTCCGGACTGAAATGAAATTTCCAGGGGACAAGAGGTGGGGGTCAACTCCTGTTATTAATCACAAGGCGAGTCATAGACCGCTTTCTGCTATGAGTCTAGTTAACTCGTCAGAACATCATTACACAGCTGTTGAGCAGTTGACACCTTTGGATCTGCAGAAACCACTGGTAACAGCCAAGAATGCCGATGAAAATACTGGCAACATGCCATCCATTCAGTTGAAAAGGAACCTCGGGCTACAGCATAACAAAATATGGGAAAATTGGCTCTCACAGAGTAATTTGATTAAAAAGGCATCGATTGTTGCTCTGTTGGCTTGCACTCTGTTCTTAACTTTAAAGCTATCGGCCTTTAGGGTTAGTAGGTTATGGAATATGCGCCTTTGGGTATCTACAAAACCACTCTCGGGCTCAGACTCTTTTCAGTGGAAATCAGAGTGCCAGAATTTGAAAACAAACCTTGCTTCCGTGAATGGAAATGGCGTTGTTGGGAACATGCGAACTCTCTTGGACATGTTTAAGATAAGGCATGGAGAGCATTCAGATGGCTTATATTCGCAAAATAGCCATCTCCAAGCTACTTTGACAAACTCTCGGAAGCATTTGCAAAGGAGACCGATGCTGACAGAAGAGGCTGAGGACCTTGTGAGGCAATGGGAAAATGTTAAAGCTGAAGCCCTGGGACCTAATCATCAGATTGATAGTCTTTCCGAAGTCCTCGATGAATCTATGCTTGTTCAGGTTGTTTTTTTAATCTCCTTTAACTTTATGCTTTATGTTGGATTAATTCATAGATTGCACATACTTTTTTTTTGGGTTGCTGATTGCTTTTTCTTGGTAATGTGGATTTATAGTGGCAAACATTGGCACAAACGGCAAAGGCTAGATCCTGTTACTGGAGATTCGTTTTGCTTCAGCTTAAGATTCTGCAAGCACATGTTTTGCCCAACGGGATTGCGGGTGAGATGGCAAAAATCGAGGCCCTTCTAGAGGAAGCAGCTGAATTAGTCGATGAATCTCAGCCAAAGAATCCAAAATACTACAGGTGACCAGATTTTCGGATCAGTATCCTTTTGGGTTTCTTGCTTTGTTCATTTGGGATACACCATATTAAATATTCATATAGTCAGGTGTACTTTTAAACCATTCAAACCATATATATATATATATATCCATTGGTGGTCTGACTTTAAAGATGGTACATTTTATAGCCGAACTGCACATTTTTATACCGAATTCAATCGTTCATAGGAAGTGGGGAATCTGAGATCAGGTTTTTTGTTTACTTTTGGTACTCGTGCAGCACGTACAAGATAAATTATACTTTGAAAAAGCAAGAAGATGGGTCATGGAGATTCTGCGAAAGTGAGATTCAGATTCAGATTCAGATTCAGAAATGACTTCCACATAGCATTCACCGGCAATCGCCTAATAATCTCCGCTGGCTCGGTTTCCTCTCTTCATTATGGCTCAAGAACTCGGGTTGTGTAGCATCTGATCGTAGTATAAAACTCTGGTTTGTTTAGCCTTTGGTTTTCCGTAAATCTAACGCGTAGAGAAGATCGCTCCAGGTTCATTTCTTATCCTAGAAACCGAAGTAACATTGCCCTTGAGATTCTTTCATTCGATACTTTTTGTGGGTAGGCTTTGGGATTTCTTATGTAAAAAGTGTAGGAAAAAGCTTTTCGCCACGACTTCCCCTGAGTTTCGAGAAGGCAGCATCGACACCGGTAGTATGTACAATCCCGGTTCTTTCTTTCGTTGTTTCGTTTTTTCTTCACGAAGACACTACATTAACTTACAATGTCTCTTGGAAGATATCCCAATGGTGTTCTTTAACAACAATGCCTGAGGATATTTTAGGTTGATTTAGATTTGGTGTTCTCGAAACAAAAGCGTTTTGGACTTTTGGTTATATGATTGATATAATCGAAAGAGTTTTGAACACCGACCTCTTGGTTGTTGCGATTAAGGTCGGACATAAATACCTGAAAATCGGGCATCGGCAGTCGAGATGGATATTGGCCGTGAAATCTAGGTTTCGATTCAGATATTTCTGTTTCGCATATGGTTATCCACATTTACAGGACAATGTTAAAGCCTCTGATATCGAGATTGAAAATTCCAAATTTTGAATATTCGAGCTCTACATAGCCGCACCTTGTGTCCTGGTGATGATGAAAAAAGCAGAAAACAGTTCAATTGCAAAACCAAATTCTGTATACAAACCATACAGAGGCATCGAATTTACAAATAAAAAGTTACCTATCGTTTTTTATACATCCGAGAATTCACACACACTTCTCTTTCAAAGGGATGCAAAGGTCCGGTTTCTAAATCCCTCCCACCGAAGTTCATTGATACAAAACGCACCAAAATCATTCTCTGTGGTATCTTCTTCCAATTCCAACCTAATCAATGAAATGATTGAGCTCAAGTTCAAAAGCTCGGAATCGATGTGCAGCTAAAAAGGGCGTCACTGGCGAAATCCAGAAACATTTGTTTCACTAATCATCGTCCTCCGAATCTGCAATCGTTCAAAGCAAATAAGAAAAGATTACTCCGAGTTTATGACTACCCACATTGCCAAAAAAAAAAAAGAACGAGCAATGTTCTACAAACGAGACACCTAAGATGATTGTTCGATTTTTTTTTGTATGTTTAGAGAAATGTTGCAAATTCCAAAAGATTTAACGCAAAACCAAAATGAGCGGAAACGAAGAATTCATGGCCGACCCCAAATAAACTTGGGATCAAGGATGTTTAGAGAAATCTAAAAACACAAGTTTGCTATGAGAAGGGGAATACCCGTGGAAGATACGGTCCGAGCTTTTAGCAATCATCATCGTTATTATTTCTATTTGTTGGAAAAAAAAAAATCATGGATAGAGAAATTTACCGGATCTTATGTCATCTCCGACTTTTCCTCTATTCTTGAGCTGTCTCATGATCATGGCGCAGATGAGATACCACCAATATATGTGGAAAACTAGTAGTGTCAGTAACATCGTGTTGAAGGCGTAATACATGGACATGCCTTCAGGCGTCGATATATCCACGTGAACCCCCAATTCAGTGCTAAAAGTTTGCAATTAAAAACAAAATTATTAAAAGATACATATTAAAGAATTTACAAGAAGCAAGTCATATACCGAATGATCGATCGAGTTATAAACAAGGGGGTGGAGTGTTGTATGTACCTCGTAGCCCAGATGACCCAAAACGGGAAGAATACTAAACGTAGCAGAAGCCACGATAGAGCGAATAGTCCAAAACACACACTTGCTCCGAGTTCGTTCTCTGAGTATTTGAAAACTTTAGCAGATTCCATAAATACATCACTCGCGTCATGAAGGGCTAGGATGATTGACCCAATACAAAAGAACCTGTAGATATAAAATCATCCGATACATAAAGCTTTCCAAAGCCAAACACAAAAACCAAGAAATATCTGTCCCCATTTTAGGGAATCTATGAACCAGGTAAGCCCCTTGATACTTTTTGGATATATTAAAATGAAAAGCTTGCACATTTTCTTTTACTTCTTGTTAAAAATCTAATTGCTACCGAAAACTTTTGAGTACAATCATGGACGTAAAGCTTCAAGGAGTTATTACCTTGTTAAGAATGAATAGCCAATGAGAAGGATGGTAATTATATGATGAGACATCATAACTGCAAAATCCTTTCTTCTCGTCTCCCATGCAAGCAACGCAGCAACACTATACATATAGAATCCGCATTGGCACATGTAGTAAATCTTTAGAGGCAGCCTACAGCGACAAGTAAACTGAGGTTAGTCATGAGCTATGCCTATCGTATCATCATACATGATCCGTTCATGCCAAATCTCAGGTACACAAGAGCAGAGACCAACTTACAATTTCAGAAAAATAGTGGCTACCCAAAAAGAGAAACCAAAGATGGAGCAAAAAAAGAAAAGGAACGAGAGACAAAAGCAAGGGCAGAGAGGAATAGAAGAGCATGTAAGTCTTTTTTTTTTATATGACATAATGAGATGATATTTCAAGTGAGGTACCGTATAATGTTGATGATACAGCATAAGTCTTGTTGAATGGCGAAAAGGAGTGACACAAAAGTGGGCAAGAAAACAAGACAACTCAAGAACATGAAACTGGACAACTTTTGAAAATAGAAAATTTTGCAAGTCTTAATAGCTCCACTCACTTAAAGGAGTAGATCATGAGACTCACATCTCCATCTAGTCTACAGCAAACATAGGAACTCGGTTCCAAAAACTAGCGAAGTAGAAAAATTTCTGACCAGAACATCTTATCCAAATCCAACATTTGGAAGAAAAAAGGGTCATTGCCGTTACTATTTCTGAATCCAGAAAGTGAAGAAAACTTAAGATCATGAAATACGTGCTAATCAAATCGATGAAATCAAAATCCCATTAGAAAAATAAATTAAAAAGAAAGCGATTGACTACTCACTTTAACTCTTGATTTGGCCAACCTTCAAAGTACTTCTGCGAATCCCTGAACCACGGCTCATGATAAATGACTTTGAGAACAAATATTTCACAACTAGCATAGTATGCTAATTTCCACAAGGACTCCTTGCATTTGACGATTTTTGCACGGGTTGCATCATTCATTTTTAGCGGGCCACAATTGAGACTTAAAAGCCAGACAGAGATCCTCTGAAAGTTTAAAGGAAAAAACAACGGAGGGTTAGTAAAATTTGTACTCTTGTAATACAGACATTACGGACGCTTTACCACCATGAACTGACAGAAGCAGTCATACTGATAATAGTTTTTTTTTTCTTCAAACTGCTCTCTTCTAGAGTCTATCAAACTACAGAAGAGAAATCTATCGGCAGATGGAACCAGCTGTTCCAAACGATTTTCGCTAAAACATCACGTCAGGGAGAAACATTGCTAAGTTCCATAGAAAAGCAATAAGAATGTCCAGCTCCTCCTAAAAACAAGATATTCTTTAGCTTAAAGCACATGTGTATGGCATAAAGAGCAAGAATTTCACAGAACCAGAGGCTTTTCCCATCTTTTTAAGTAACTAATCTTCCAGAATTAGTTGGAGAGAAACCGCTAAATGCTATGTAATACATTACATTCACAACCTGCATTTGCCCCTTCTTCCATTTCACTTCTTGACCATAATTCGTTCATCCACGAACGATAAGCAACGAATAAAAACGAGATTACCAACTTAAGCTCCTCAAACCTCCAACAAACTAAACCCTAAATCGGAAGGGAAAGCGAAGATTTGGAGAGAAAAAAATGCAAGAATGTGAATAACAGCAATGCAATGCATATATTATCCGCTCCGTTTCTATTTCAGTTTCTCACCACCTTCTTAAAGCAGAACAATCAAGCATGGCGATGTCTATCGGTCGACAACATACACATCAAAGCAGATACTACATGCAAATTTAACAGAACATAAAAATAAAAAATTCAAAGAAGTATTGGCAATTTCCAGAGAAACCCGATGCAGCAAAAGCGAAAACAGAAAGTGGTTCTTACGTGAAACACGAATCGATCGAGGACGAATCTCGAGAAGAAAAATCCAAACGCGAAATAGACGGCAACCAAGAAATGCCAAAACTCCAGCGGTGCATCAAGCTTGCCGCCGCCGCCGCTCCGTACCGGCAGAGGTTCCATGTCCGACCTCAGAATCCGCCGCGGAGAACGATTTCACGGCGAAAACATCGAAACGAACTAAAATCTCTTCCCAAATCGATCGCTTGTTATGGACCAAAAAAGCCACTCCGACAGAAAGAGAAACACCAGCGGAGAACTCCGGATTGAATAGAAATGGCGAATTGAAATCGATCTGGTTTTTGGGGTTCTCCGTTTTGCGCTACAAAGAGGGAGAATATGAAGGGAAAGGAACAATGGCAGAGATTCCGAGTCCAGTAATAATCCTCCGATTTTCCAAAAAGGCGGACGACGGTGCTAAAAGCCAACAAAGCTCTGTTATTATCAATTATTATTTTTAGAATTTATTTATTTATTTATTTCATAGTTTCAAAGATTTGTGCCAAAAACCTAAGTAAACCATCGAAAATAAATCATGATTGAAATTACGTTCTCATCCCTAAAGTTCGAATTTGGAACGGAATATTTCAGCTACTCAAATTGTTTTTCGTTTGAAAAATTATCAAATTAGTAAAGAGGTGAGTTATTTCACAAAAAAGAACCATATTCAACACATATAATAATCTTGTTGTGTGTAAATATATATATATATATATATATATATATATATATA